TTGATTAGATTATAGTAAAATAGTCAAAAATTCTATATTTGTCATGTACTTGACATTTTATTATTTTATTTAGTTTTCATGTCACCCACATGAAGGGCAGTGGAGGCTTTTTTTTTGTTCACTATTGTGGATCTAAAGGACATACCTTAGGATAAGGGCTGTTGCCGTGAAATTTTGGTGCTGAAAAACTCTCCAGAGCAGTTAATTAGGGGTGAGATAAGAAAGGGTTTATTTTGCCAAGGCTAAGATGTTACAAGACGCGCGCAGGCCGTGCCTGAGAGGTTACATTTTATAATACCATCCATCCAATCCCAGATGTGTCCACCCTGTGGCCTTTACTCTGGTCCGCCCCGGGGTCCACCCCCTGAGAAATGGGTCTGGGGGTTTTGGGACCCCATGTTCATCCCACCTTCCTCTTCATCAGAGCACAAAGGGTACATAGTTACCTAATTCTTGACTGTATTCCGTGGTTTAGGCCCTGATATGCTGTTCTGCCAACAATCTAGGCCTTGCCTTGACAAAAGACTAAACATCTCTGCTGTGTTCAGGAGTAGGATTGATATAGGGAGCATAGAATGGGGTAAGAGGGTTAAGGAATGTGTAAACAAGGGTGCTAGAGAAAGGGACAAGGGACAAAGCAGGGGGGTTGCTGCTTTTAAAACCTACTTATAAAACTTATACGTCTTACAAATATTAGAAAAATAAAAAACCATTAGGGGCTTAAGGCATCAGGGGATATACATGAGATAAATCTGCTTGAACTTTGTTTAAGAAAACACTAAATAGTTGCAGCAACCTTTGCAGTGGAAGGAAATGGTGATGAAAAACTGAACTTCTGGATTTGAGCTGGGCTGTGGAAGAGTAAAAGCAGTTATTTGAACTGTAGTGTTACATGGTGTTATAGAGGAATTAAGGTCTTGTCAGTGCAAGGCTTTTTGGTGGCTGCAAGAACAACACTTAGTTTTAACATTTCCTCACTTCTCACTGGTTAGCTAAGGAATGTTAATATTTCTGCCAGAGCTTTCATATGTAATTCATGTGCTCCTGAAAAGTACTTTGATACTGTAACTTTATGAGCAAAAATACATGATCATGCGACATGATATCTGAGGATATTTGTGAAGTGTTCTCCGAATAAGAAACCCTCCTGTCTGTACAGAGCCAATTATTCTTTAGTGCTGGCTGCTCAGCAGGCTAAGTATCATGAAACTGCAACAAAAAATAGACTTCTAGGAACAAAAAGTACCAAGAACCTTGGAATGACCTGTGATTGTCTGCCTTCAACTTATTATTCCAGCAGTAATACTTTGTTGAAGATTGTATGTGAACATAACCTGCCTCTTGATGTAAGCACAAGAAAATTTAAGCTCCTTTATAAGATACCTGAAATAATATAATTTTCAAAAGCAAACACAGACATCAGCATACAACACACCAATGGGCAGTGGGTGAACCTAGTTTAGCTTGTAAGTAAAAGCTTATGAAAGAGGAACAGAAAAATCAAAGAAGTAAAAGAAGGAGCACAAAAAGCCCAAAACAGTCAACAAAT